GCGGCTAGACGCAAAAGGAGACAATCGGCGAGAAAACTGCGCGGAAGTCGCACGACTTGCGAGTTTTGGAAGGAGATGGTGACACGGCAAATAGAAAATTTCTTCTTTGTGTTAATGATCATATCTCACAACAATAATAAATAAAATTCAAAATTCACCTCGTTTCTGCTAGAGTTTCTATCTATAAATTCGTGATACAAATTCTTATTCAAATTATTCGTTTTATTCGAATTATTCGTTTTATTTTGAATTACTCGTTTTATTTTGAATTATTCCTTTTATTATGAATCAATCACACCAGCTTTATCAATTAATTACAGTCAGAGTTTTATATATTATTAAAAGATTAAAGATTGAAGGAAATTTCAAGTGTACTTCTACTTCTTGAAGTATTACAAATAACATGACTTTTTACATGATTTTGTCCAATAAAATATAATAAATATGATTAATAAAGAATGACCAATATTAATATTACTAATGTTAAATGCCAAAATGAATGTCATGATTAAGGATGGTTTTGAAAAAATCAATTTCAGCAAGCAATTTCAGATTTACAATAATTATAACAATAGACATGAAAAAGCTACCCAGAATTTTGGCCATTGAGTTAAAGCATTCAAATAATTTCAGATATAATTTCGGCAACTAATAAAATTATTCAGCATTTCAGGATAATTTATTAACATTAAGTGAGGCTATTTTGGCTAACATGCTTAGTCATATATAAAATGAATTGGTTGACAACAATTGGGATCCAGGTCCTCAATTTACTATGAAATGATTTCATTAATACATGTATGATTACTCTCAGGAACTTGCTTATTTAATTATTCATAACAATGTTTTTGTTCTTTACTATTTTTCTACTTGGATAATTGGTTGTAGTGGCATCTGAATCAATTTTTATGCAAAGATATCGAATGTTTTGTCATTATTATCATTGTTAAAATTCATATGCGCTGATTTTGTTTGAACCCCAAAATTCAGTACGGTATGATCATAAAATTATGAATACTTACTTTCTTTATACAGTACTAGCAAAAACCCCTTGGTTTTGAGGTGGGGCCATTGGTTTGACAGGCTGTTGAATAGTAAAATTAGTTTTTTTGGCGGAGCAAATAAATTTTTTTACACATTAAAAATATTCATGTTTAACGTCGAGACACAATAAGATATAAAGTTCGAAAAAAGGTCAAATCAGCTGATATATTGATTATCGTTATGGTTGTCCAAATAGTCACTATAACTAGCAGTAATATTTGCAATTACAGATGTTAATTTATTATTTTAATAATAGAAAAAAAGTCAGTCATATTTACATTTTAAACATTTTAAACACAGTGATAAAATAATTTATTACTACTAAGGTTGCTTGCCGAAACTAACTAAGGGGTTTCGGCAGAATGGCATATGCGAAACTGCCGAAATAGTATTAGTAAATCGTTCTGAATACCGAAACGCCGACTTTTGGTATAGCTACTAGTAAGATTTTAATATAGTTTCGCCATAGTTTAACCTAGAGGTTGAGAATCAACTATTTTAGTTAACTAATACTAACTACCAGTATAATATAAATTTTTTTGAATAAATAGTGACTATATATTTTAATTGATTATTTAGTCTAGAGTTCCTATTCGTAATTTTTATCAATTCGTGTTATTCGTTTTATTCGTTTTATATATAATAGTAATGGTAAAAATCATTCAGTCCCGCTTTACGTTCCTATTGTAACATGATGTTTCCGCTTGCATTTTCTGTTATGAACATTTTTATCAAAAGAAAATTTTTTTTTTGTTCAAGCCGTTTTTGCACTATTTCAACATAATACAAAATAATGGTTCGTCAAAATCTTTCTCGGCTGATTCTTTTTATGTTCTCTACTAAAAAGTGTTACTCATTTGCATCCAACTCACCTGCTTCTACTCTTTGTTTTAGATCTGTAAGCATTAATTACTATATTTCCTGACAAAAAATAGATTCTTAGAAGTTGTTTGTTTTACTTGCTCAGACATACGGTTACTTCCACCATGCTTTCCAAAAAAATTTGTTTTTCACGAAGAGCCCAACCCAGTTCAAAGTAATTCATTTTAAAAATTAAAAAATTTAATTTAACATCTAAAAAATATTTATTATAATAATTTTTTTCTCTATAATGGACCATTTGGTTTAGGAAAAATGTCCGTTATAGACAATAATATATTTATACACATATAAATTGGGCTTAAATTTCAGTACATTATAGAGAGCGGACTGTTATAGACAATAATAATTTATATATATAGACATGTAAATTGGGCTTTCCGTTATTATTATATCAATTATATATAGAGTGTGAACTGTGTCTTATTCATTTTTTTAACTGCTTCATCTTCATTCCCCAGGCATCATTATATTAATATGGCGTTTTTTTGTTTTGTATATTTCAAGTAATATTTGTTCAACAATGCAAATTTTCATAGGGAAATAAGAAAAATATTTATTTAATATAATACCTTTTGATTTTGTATAGGGTTTTTTCTCTAATCTGCTTTCATAATGTAAATGATGAATGATTGAGCCCAATGAAATTAAATTTTACTTTTAACAAGGGTTGGTTTAATTTTTAAAAATTCGTTGGAGATTATCGAGATATACAGTCCTAACCTCGGCCAAAAAAATCCGCTGTGACGAGAAATCCGCTATGGCGAATTTGATGATCTGCAAAAGATTTTTTAAAATGACTAAAATGGCTGGGATTAACATGTCACGAAAAATCACTTTTGTTCACACGCATTTTAAATTATTTATACTAGTACTAGCCCATTGTTCATTGTTAGATTTAGAAAATGATCGGCCAGTGTCCACTCTCTCTATGACAAACTTCTGTCATATATGTATTTTTTCCAATATAGCAATAGAGAGGGATGTAAGAGAAATTAATAAAAGAGAAGTTTGTTATAGAAAGGCTCATTATAAGCAGAGTGAGATGTAATTTTTTTTCAGAATTATTATTATTTGATTTATTAATTGTAAATTGTTTAACAGAAATTTTCTTAAAGATAATCATGGTGTTTTATTTTTATAACCACGATTTCCACTATTATCACAATTCAAATCATTCTTTTCTTTAATAATAATAAAATCTTTGTTGCCATTAAAATAACTTTTTTCCTTGATTTGAGTTTATCCGCATTATTATTATTACTATTATTATTACTTAAGCTATGACAAAGGATTTGTACAAGGATGGGTGGCGGTGGATGGTTTTATATAGATTATTTGATATTGGATGAGGAGGGAGGAAGGGTTGTTGATGTTGATTATTCGTTTTATTTAACTAAACTTCCAATCTAATTCAAATACTCAAATTCATAACGAATAAAACAAATAATTTGAGTCAACCTTATTCAAATAGAACCCTAACGACGTTCTATTTTATTCAATTCATGTATAAAATCCATCGTCTCCGCTAACCTTTTAAACTCTTATTGTTTCAGGTTTTAAACTACAACGCCTTTGATTAATTAAGTCTGTGTCTCCAGAAAAAACTCGTTCAACCGGGACACTGGTTGCTATAATAATAATAAATTTATCGGATTAGAAATTAATAAATTTAGTTCTAAATAAGCATAGTAATAGTACAAAAATTAGAACAACAGAAACTGCGAGTAGTTTCTAGCCTAAAGCTCCGAAATTTCAATAAGGTTTCGGTTCGGTTCAAAAAGTAAACCGAAACCGAAATGAACTGAACTGAAATTTTTCGATTTGACCTTTTAGAAATCGAAACCGAATCGAAATTTATTTAGGAAAAAAATTTAGTCAAATAATAATAATCCGATTACAGAAAGCACATATTCATACAACATCATAGTTCACATTCCATTGACAGCTTGGTAAATTTATTTTATGACATTAAGTCTTAAATACATTATGCTTAGATCAAAATTGAAACTATCGGAACAGCATGAGAAGCTCTGCTACTCGGAGTATAAATGGTTTGACCGGTATCCAGATAATTTCTGGTGTTTAGAAAACTCAATTATGGAAAGCTTGAAGTACGAATTGGTATTTCTCGAAATATCAAATGGTCTCTGCATTGAGAATTCCAGCGATATAGAAGGTGATAAAATAAAATTAGCTAAATTCTGTAAAGACTAATGGGACTATTCGCTCATGTGAAAGCTAATAACAAAGGAATCTTAACGGTTACATTGAATTCTGCGATTTAGATAATCATCTTTTTAAAAAAATTAGAGAATTATCTTTTTAACCAAATGAAATTTTCAGGTTCACTAATTGACACTTATGGAGTCAAAAAGAAGATTCCACCACTATTTCATAAATACTCCACTCAAACTCAACGATGATATTACAACAGATATGATATTTAGAAAACTAATAACTTCAAACAAATTAGTGAAACGTAAACTTGATAAAGTATATAATATTGAATTACTTTCTCATAAACAACAGTACATCCAACGATAATAATACTGATAGTGGCGATGAGACTGTGCAAAACAATACAGTAGAACTCAACGCACATCAATTAAAAAAAAGAACTATTGATATTAAATATAATTTTAAATAAATAAATTCATATATTATAGTATTAGCATGTTTACATTGTTTGGTTTTTTTGCAGTATGCCTCATATTGTATTTAAACCTTGATATCATAAATCTAATCCAATATTCATACTAACGAATATCAAACGTCCGCTCTTTATTTTGATTTGATAGGAATGTGCCTATCTTATACTAAAAAAGGGGAGTTAAGGGGGTTACCACACCACCGGGGTACCCTAAACTAAATTGTTTTATTTAAAATTTTTTTTTTTAAAAAATGACTGATAAAAGTAACTTATCAAATGATTCAACAACAAACTCCGACGCCACAATCGATCAAGTAGTTGATAAGGAGGAAGAAGAAGTTATTGATAATGAAGTTGTTGAAGATCTATATGGCAAAGAGCACCTCAACATTATTTTCATTGGACATGTTGGTAAGTCAACACAGTGATAATTTCTTTTTTTAATTTCAACTACAATTTAATTTATTGATTAATTAGATGCCGGAAAATCAACCATGGGAGGGAACATCTTGTAATTTCAAAAAAAAAGTCCTCTACAAATATGAATAATGATGAGAATTGAATTTGTTTAGTTTTATTAATTCAAAATACAACGTTATAATTAGATATATAACTGGAATGGTTGATCAAAGAACTATGGAGAAATATGAAAGAGAAGCAAAAGAACAAAATAGAGAAGCCTGGTATTTAACGTGGGCACTCGATACAAACAAAGAAGAACGTGAAAAGGTATTCTAAAGGTTTAAATACTCTTCGTTGTTATTATGAAAATAATTATATTTATTGGCTTTGGCTTAATTTTTAAAATTTGAATGTTTTTCATTCTCAAGGGTAAAACTGTTGAATGTGGACGTGCCTATTTTGAAACAGAGAAGAGAAGATATACAATTCTTGATGCACCAGGTCATAAGAATCTTGTCCCAAGTATGATCGGTGGTGCATCTCAAGCAGATGTTGGAGTGTTGGTTTGTGATAATGATTATAATAAGAATAAATTTTTCAAATATTTATTTTATATAATTATATAACTTTTCTAAAGGAGATATAAATATATACGTCTTATGTAAATAGGTTATATCTGCTCGTAAAGGTGAATTTGAAACTGGATTCGAAAGAGGTGGACAGACACGTGAACATGTAGTATTAGCTAAAACATCAGGTGTAAATAAGTTAGTTATCGCTATTAATAAAATGGATGAATCAACTGTTAATTGGTCAAAAGAAAGGTAATATTTAGAAAGTCAAGGGTGAATAAAAATAATGGTTTTTAACTAGTTTTGTTCTAATTTATAATAAAATAGATATGATGAATGTGTTTCAAAGCTCACACCTTATCTTAAATCAAGTGGATACAACCTGGCGACTGGTAATAATAGTGATGATGATGATGATGATGATCACGATGATAATAAATTCTAAAAATAATTTTTAAATATTTACTAAAAGTTGTCATTACTACTATTATCTTCTATATTAGATGTTTTTTTTATGCCAGTTTCTGGTTTTACAGGTTTAAATCTTAAAGATAGAGTACCAAAGGATCTTTGTCCTTGGTATAGGTAAATAATAACGATGATGGTGATGTTTTTATTAATTTATATAGTTTATTTACTTTCATATATGATATTTATATATATATATATATATATAGTGGTCCATCATTATTAGAATATTTAGATAATATGCAAATGTTAGACAGAAAAATCAATGCGCCATTAATGATTCCTATCATAGAAAAATATAAGGTAATGAATGCTTGTGTGATTTCTATATGAATATTTATTATTTAATAAATATATTGACGCATTTTCATTTATTTTTTAGGATATGGGAATGATTGTTGTAGGAAAAGTAGAATCAGGGAGAGGTTAGATAAAAATAATATTGAAGATGATTGATTAACTAAATATTCATCAAAATATCAATTTATGAAATTAGTTAAAAAAGGCCAATCTGTTTTACTCATGCCAAATAAAGTATGTGAACATTAATTTATAAAACATTTATGGTGATGATGATAATTGATTGGATCGAATATTAATGATTATATAATACTATTTAGAGAATTGTCGAAGCTTCAGCTCTTTATAACGAACTTGAGAATGAAATACCTATGGGATATTGTGGTGATAACATTAGAATAAAACTTAAAGGAATTGAAGAAGAGGTTATACATACATACATACGCATTTATTTATGTTTATGTTTGTATTATATTTACATATTAAATATTAAATTAATATTTTTTTAGGACATTTCAGCTGGTTTTTTATTATGTTCAACAGATAAACCAGTTAAAACTTCATCTACTTTTGAGGCTCAACTTGCGATCCTTGATCATAAAAATATTATTTGTGCTGGTTACAGTGCTGTATTGCATATTCATTCATGTGTAGAAGAAGTATCAATTTCAGTTAAGAATCAACTTTATATTTATAAATCAGTTGATGATTAAATTTTTTATTATAAATTTATACAAAATACATACGAATTATATACATTTGCGCTAGTTTTTAATTAATGATTTTTCTTTTTTTCAGTCTCTTTTACATCTTATAGACAAAAAAACTGGTAGAAAATCTAAAAGACCTCCACAATTTGTTAAAAAAGGTCAAAAGGTTATTGCAAAACTTGAAACACAAGGTCCAATTTGTTTAGAGGCATTTGCTGACTATCCACAGTTGGGGAGATTTACAATGCGTGATGAAGGTAATTCAATTAATTAATTAGTGGATTAACTTGTTGTTTAAAATATGATATTAATTTTTCAAACATAAAAAAAAAAATTCACTTTTTAAAGGCAAAACAATTGCAATCGGAAAAGTAACAAAAGTTATTGAAAACGAGTAATTGTAAAAAAAAAAAAATCATAATTGTTAATGTCTATCTATCTTATCTATAATTTTTTAATATTAATATTAATAATAAAAGCAAAGATTTTCTATTTCTATTATTTGTGGCAGACAAAATGAACCAATACAACGTGGTCATGATAATATTTCCTATCCATTCTTTTCAATACTTTAATATGAACGAAAATGGTGTCATGCAATTTTAGTTGGATGTTATTATTAATTTAAGTTGTGTTGCCTCTTGATTATTAAAAAGGCAATTCTTTCTAGATATCTACTACTTCTTTTTCTATTCTAAATTTCTCTATATTAATATTGCTGCTATTCGGATGAATATTTGGTACTACATACCAAAATCAGCAATGATCATCATCTTGAACGAAAGCCATGCACAATTTGATAATAATTTTTTATTGAATAAAACGTATAATTTGATAAAACAAATACAGTCTACACTGTCTATAACGGATCTTTATAACGGATCTTTCTCTATAAAGGATTAAAAGTTTGGTCCCGATTTTTCACTATTTGAAATCTCTTTCTATAACGGATGTTATTAATTAACGTATAACGGATTGTAACTTCGTATTAATATTAATAGTAATTTTCTATATTGACCTGAACTGTGTTTGATGATCAACCATTGTGACCAACCCCAAGATATTATGTGATAACCCCCAAACTCTGAAAAATTTGTTGTAAATTTCGCGCAACATATTGACCAATAATAACATTTAATAATTGTTCTTTTTTACAATATGCCAAAAGGTGGATTACCAGAAGAAATATCAAATAAAGTTCGAAATCGTGGTAAGTGTTTGTTCTTCTTCACTATATGGATGATGCTAAATACTCTAACTTTGTACTCATATGTCAGAGCATTGAGAGAAATCTCCTTCCAAGTAGGGAAATGTAGAGATGTGGGATCAATTCTTCATTGAGAAAAACCCATCTGCAACAAAACAATGTCACATAATATTTTAGGTGTTGAATTACAAATTTTGATCCAGGATCTAAAACCTGACACAAGAGCAAACGAAAAGGCATTAGCAATCCAGTGTGATTTAAAGGCCAGTAATATTTTTCATGATAATGAATGTTCTACACCCTATGCTACTGGTATGGGGAAGAAGTGTTCAGTCTCATATACGCCATGACATGCAAATTTTGTTTACAGCATTGTGTGCATACCCTACACTACTGGTATAGAGGAAGAAAGTGTCTGGTTTATACATTGCTGCAGTGTGAGCATTTTGCACTTTCATGGGAAATGTACCCTGTGGCTACTGGTTGAGTTGAGGCCATTTTGGCTGAGGTGGGAAGCGATCTACAACCTAGCCTATGCTTGTTGTGGTTTGTGCTGTCTCCTGCTGGTTTAGCATATTATTTGCTAATCTTTTTTTTACCATCTATTGATGTCTCAGGAAAAGGGAAAACTTACTTTGAAATCCACCTTTTTACAATGAACAATCACATGATTGATTAAACATGAATTAAAAGTTCATTATAACATGTATTTAATTAGTTTACACTTCATTATAACAAGGTGTGACTGTAAACTGGATTCCAAACAAGTAAATTCTCTTTATCTTTCCAATTTGTGTTATTAATTATGCTGACCTCCTTAAATATTAACATTGTGAGTAAAAGTTGCACTCAATTCCTTATTCCGATTTTTAAAAAAGTTGGGGGGTTTCTTTTTTAAACTTATCCCCAACAAACAATGAATATTGCGTGTAAATGAATGGCCTATTCTGAGGAATAGGTGGTATGTTAGCAGTTTAGGTGTTGGGTGTTGATGTATTCATGTCTTGTGATCAGGCATCTGCTGTTGAGGCTTATGCACACTGGGTACCATATGTTGGAGCTGATGCTCATCTAACTGTTAATCATATGTTTATGTTAAAGGCCATGTTATTTTATTAAATAACCATGCCATTCTTTTTTATCAACATATCAACACTGATATAATAATAATGTTTGTTAATTAAAATTATATAATATGTTTATTAATGTATATTTATTCTTGTTTATTAGGCTCATAATATAATTTAACTTTTACAACACAAAATAAACATCATCTAATTAAATAATTTGTTTTTTATTTCTTTATAATCCAATAAGAACACAATGAGACATTATCAATGTATTTGTAGAAGAATCAGACCTTGGAATAGGGTAAATCATTCATTATTCAATGGGAACTTATAGAGAATTAAGGAATTGGAGGAGAGATAGGAATTGGAATGATTTTCATTGTGTCAAAGAGCATTGGAGTTTTTAGAATTCTTAATTGCATATATTTACATACCCAAAGATTTTTTGGCAGATGATATCTTTTTTAATATTATTGTTGTCACCTTTGTTGTTGTTTTTCTTAATTAATAAATACATTAATGGGAAAAATAACAGAATGATAAAAATAGAACATAACTAAACCCTTTAAACATTACTACTATATTATTAAAAATCAATTTCTTTTACTGTCAAAAATCAAAATTCTTTTTTTCAATTTAATATATCAATATCTTAAGATGGACAGACAGACATTAATAAAAGACGAACTCACATTGAAAAGCTAGCCAAAAATAAAAGATTAAGTAGTGATCTAACATATGTGGATAATGTCCCTAATACCAGTGATGAAATTGAAATGAAATTTAAATGAAGATTTGTGTTGCAAAGTTGGATCTGAAATTGAGCCTGAAGTTGAACCCATTGAAATTGAACTTGAAGTTGAAGTTGAACCCGAATCTGGATCTGGATCTGACTCAAGTTCTGACAATGATAAATCCTGGGAGGATGTGAATATTGAAAATTTTACCTTTGTAAATGACACTTACACTTCAATAAAAAAAACCAGGACTTTTTATATGGGGGTTCAATCAGGACATGCCAAAGAGTTGAGAGATGCAGCAATTGGATCTTCTAAAATTACTGAATTTTTCCACATTCAAACCCCTAATAGAGATCAATCTTTTGATGATGATGATGATGATAACTGGAGAAATATAATAGATTCTGTTGAAGAACCCCAATTTAGACAATGATGCAAAGTCTACATTAACAACAATCAGGATGTATTTTAGAAATTTAGATAATGGTAAAAAAAAGGTTGAAGCAAGCAAGATAGTGGCAATATCTCTGGGTGGACAATAAATTATAAATATAATTAACAATAGAATTTGTTGCATCAAGCTGTGAATTATTAATTTTATAAAATGAATAATAATTCGAATAAGTGACCAATTTTTGAAATGTAATGTGTAACCAGCTCAGTTTCAAATCAGAGTTTGAACTGGGTTTAACCATGGTTTGAAATGTGTGAATTAAACCGCATCAGTTCAGTTTGAACCAGCTTTGGGTTAAACCATTTCCATCTCTAGTGTGTGTATGCTGATAGTAGATCCACTTTATTGTTAAAGATGGATGGATATTCAAGTTATATATATTACCAAATGACATCATAGTAAAATTTGAATTTGTGTTATTATTATGTACACTCTAGCATGGTTAAAAATCCGTTTATGGATAGATCTGCAAGTCACGATTACTATTGATATTTCAAAAAAAGATCTACA